AGTTCATTTGCAATTAGAACAATGAAGAGTGGCCACTTTAAGAACCCCAAGTTTTAATCGGGAACTTGACTTTTTGTAATTATACACGGAAAACATTTTTGTATGAATCTCAAAGGAATCCAATGTACTCAGAAGAGTGCGTGACAAGACGAGACTCATTGAGAAAATGATTCACACTGGACTCGGGCAGCCAGTCATCGACCAAATGCTAGGCGGTTCAATTAACTGGAGCACTCTAGAGACATAAGCCGACCAACAACAGAGGCTGAGCGATTGAAGAAGCGAAGGGCCTCTCAGGACCTGAGTTAACTAGCAATATTCACTTCCGCTGGACGATTTTCCTGACGGACAAATTAGCTCTATCCACCCGCCTTTGCAGAACCAGACAATCAGCTAAATCAGTGTTGTCAGTTGACCGACAAACTCGACTTGATCAATCGACCGACATGGCCGGCTACATCATCCCAATACAGTCCCTACTAAACTAGGGGCACCTATGTAATTTCATGCACCATGTCTCATATGTCTATAAACAGGGGACCATGTTATGAATCAAAGGTTACACAATCTTAGCCCAAAAGGTTGTGAAGGATCAGTGAAATTGCTCAAAGTTATTGTTCCCCACTATTAAATAGTGTACTCCTTTTCTCCTCCCTTTGTTCTCTCTGCCTCGCTCTCCCATTCTAGGCTTTATTCCTTGGGTGTAACGTACGAGACCAATTTGGATTCAACATTCTGAAATGTTCAGTGATGGAGTCATGTCATCAAGAAGAATAGCACAAAATGGAGATGAAACACATACAAGAGATGAAAAATATGAAATGGACTAGAGAGTTTGTTCAACAAAAAATTCAAGAATTGAGAGACGAGATGTCAAGTCAAATAGCGGAGTTAACCCAAGCAATGCTCAAAAGGAGGAGAACAAGTATCTCAAGTCTAAAACCCCCATGAGGAAGAGATTGAAAATTAATACCGCAGAGTGGCTCAAAAGGTAGAAATTTCTTAGACTCCCAGTACTAGGAAAATGATGGTTTTGTACCGATAAACAAGCAACGATACGGGTGCACTAAGGCCCATCACCACCTGGAGATGTCTTCTCTCGATAGATTTCCAGCGTTAAACTACCAAAAAGTTTAAGATTCCTACGCTAGAAACTTACAAGGTTCAGAATGACATGATTGACCATATCGCCTCTTTTGAATCGGTCATTTGCCTCCTAAGAATCTCCAAAGCGTTGAAATATATGCTACCCTCAGGTGGTTCAATGACCTATCTGACTTAGTGATAGTCTCCATTTCCGATTTTAGAATAATGTTCATGGTGCAGTTTATTAGTGCTTAGAGGCCCATGAAGTGCTCACAAGCCTTATGGAAGGTCATGCAGGGTCAGGATGAGAGCTTGTTACATAACTAATTTTTAGATGAAGAGATTGAAAATACGGGATTTGGATTCTGGGGTGATACAAACTATATAAACCCAAGGGTTGGGGGAGATATGTTTCGATATGACCTTAGCCTACAACGACCAAATTCCTTGACCAAGTTGTTGGAGATAGCCAACAACCACATCACGGCTGAAGAGAGTGTCAGTAACTTCCACTACAAACCCGAGTCATCAGATTGTTGCCCATAGAAGATGTCCTTGTGGGATGATGGGTGGAGGTAGAAAAATGGTCCACACCTTTCCAAACATCCCTGATATGAAGATAGTTGGACGCCTTTATATAATAAGGGGGGCGAACGATACTACCACCCTTGAGGATAGACAAGGAACTATGACTAACAACTGACTCATTTTTACGAGCGACCAACACTTTATTACAAAGCATAAAATATCACCCCTTTGGATGTTTCTATGATCAAGACTGTTGAGACCACTCAGAATAAGGAATGCTTTAAGTAAACTCCCCTGATGAAAACTAAAGCTTTTTTCTGTGATCCAAAAAAGTTCTGTCAGCACCCTAGAGGCCACAAACATGAAATGGATGACTGCAGGCACCTCCGCAACTTGGTTGAAGAACTATTATGGGCTAAGAAGCTCAAAGAGTTTATAGCACTCAGGCAGCTACTCAGATGCAAATAAAGGCTCCAATTAAAGAGATATCTGATGAACTAGTCAGAGCAAACACCATCCATATTGCAATGGTTGCACCAAAAATTTTGGGGGGATATGAACATGACTCTGACGAGCCAGAGACAAAAGACTTCAATCGAGAGAGAGTTGTATGTGGTTGTCTCAATGGCGAGACACATTCCTCATCCACCAACCACTTTTACAGATGTTGACTTGCCCACAAAGGGCAACCCTTCAATGACTTCATCGTTATCACTACAATGATAAGTGACTATTAGATTGATATTATTCTGGTTAACATAAATAGTTCTGCTAACACCCAATTCAAATTAATATTTGGCATAATGGCATTTCTACCGACCAACCGATTGCACCGGCCTGCCCTCTATATTGCTTTTTTTGGGAGAAGAAGGAAGCTTTGGGAGTCATCTCACCGATAGTCATCTGGGGGGAATGTGACAAACACTTAACTTACACCAAAGGTTTCTAGGTGGTAGACACACCACCCACCTACAACGCCATCTTTTGACACTCATTGCTCAACAAAATTAACGACGTGGTCTCAAAAAATCACGTTGCAATAATGTTTCAGGGCAACATAGAGATTATAATTGCTCAAGCAGACTTGGAGCAATCTCGAACCTGCTACCTTCGGGAAGACATGAGTTCCAATATTTTCACAAGTGTCTTCGGTCATTGTAGGAGACTTGAAGCAATCTCGAACCTGCTACCTTCGGGAAGACATGAGTTCCAATATTTTCACAAGTGTCTTCGGGCATTGTAGACCAAATGCCTAAAGGAAATGACCTACTCACAGCCCTTGAGAAGGGCTGCATGGGTGACCATGGGCCCAGATAATGAACCTCTAACATTTTATTTTGGAAACAGGATATGAAGACACACAGTGACGCTTCATGTCCCCATCATAGTTGGAGCAGGGCCTGAGAATTCTTTTGAGGTTTCTATGTACCAACGAACTGTAGTATAATTGGATTCCACAAAGGAAGTGCCTAATCCCAATGGTATGTTATCAAATCATCAGAGGTCAGACTCTTTTAGGTTCATAAAATAGAGTCAGTTTTTTAATACATTGTTTACCATGAGTAGACATACTGTCAGCTCAAAAGAAACAACATGGTCGAACGAGTCAGATTTCCCTTGATAGTGTTGTAGATTGGGAACTTGAAGCGTTTAGGAACTTCAACAACAAAGATCTATCGGGTGAAAATGTTCTCTGATAAAGCAGGTCATGGGGTATTGATGTGTCCTTGCCTATTGCAGGCTAGGGGTGTCAATCCAACGTTGTTTGGATAATAAGTGTCATAGCTTGTAGTTTTAGGTTTATGCGCACTAGAAAATTGCACTATGAACATCCTTTGAAATCCTCAAAGGACATGATTGGTCCATATTGTAGGCAATTGAACAATCAGAGAGAAATGTCTTTTAAAGTCATAAAAAGAGTCGGTATTTCAGTGCGCCGTTTAACTTGAGCAGACATACTTTTAACTACAAAGAGTGACATGATCAGACATGTCAGATTTCCCTCAATAGGGTTCTATAGTTTGAATCTTGAAGCGTTTAGGCACTTCAACTTCTAAGATCTGTCTGGAGAAATCGTTCTTTTTGTAGAGTTGGCCACGAGGTATTGATGCGTTCCTATGTATTGCAGACTACAGACATCGATCTTGCATTTTTTGGATAATACATGATATCGCTAGCACTTAGACAGGTGACAGGGCGCTTCCGTGTCAGCACTAGATTTCACCAACTAAGAAAGTGTGACTACCCCCTAGGCAAATGTCTCCCTGATCATTTCCATCATTTGCTCCTTGAGCTCTTGGATCCAAATAGCTACAAAATATCTAGTACATTACATTTTGCCTGTGATTTTTTGGCAACTCACTTCTCCTTGTGCTACTCCTCTTCTTGTTTGTGAGACAATTCTTGCTCACCACACATTTTCAGAGTGTTCAACCCAAATTTGTCCTTGAATCATACCAAAAGAATAGAGCTTAAGCAAATAGAGAGAAAGCTTACGTTTGGGTGATGGAAGAAAAGTCGAAGAGGAAAAATATTTTCAAGTTAGGACTCCTTTCAAATAGAGATCCTCATTTACATTTATTTTCGTCTATGTAGAGTGGTTGGCCCCACTTAAAATTGCATATTTGGGTCTTTCTTATCCTAGACATCTAAGCATGGTACCCTCGAATCCTTGTCACCCTTTCTCATCATGACTCAAGATCCTGAAAGAAGTCAAGTTCTAGTTGGGCCGTTGATACGTGAGGGTTAAACCTTCGATCTTGAGTGATCATCTTTCAGCTCCTGGTTGTTGATGCTTGGCTTTGCTCGCTCGGCCTTAGATGCCCAGCCTAAGTTGCTAGGCCTTGATTAACCTTAATCACAACCTCGTTTACTTGGCATCAGCCGCTTGGCCTTGAATTTCTAGCTTAGTCTCTCGGCCTCAATTACTTGGTCTCTCACTCAGCCTTCATTTCTCATCCTTGCCAACATTTACAGTTGTGTCCGGCTATCCAACGTATTATTTTAACCTATCCAACAAGGCTTCCGCTGGGTTGAATTCCGAGCCCTCAACTATCTGATCCAAATAACTCATACAGCTTTTTTTTTTTGGATGTACAAAATGAATATCATAAAATAACAAAATAATATAATTTTATAAAAAATATAAAATTTTAAATGTTAAATAAAGCTATATCAAATAAGAAAATATTTTCGAGCCAAAAATAATCAAATCTCTAAAAAATTAAATTTCTGAACAAATTAAATAAAATTTAAATTTTCTTAAACTCACTAAAAAAATTTCTTATAGAATAAGTGCCGGCGAACGGTACCGGAAATTTATTAGGTTTAGGCCAATCTAGGTCTAGCGTAAGAAAATGAAAGAAGAGTAGCTCAGCCTAAAATTATAGCCACAAGCAAATGAACTCCATTTTTTAAGCAACCCGTTTTCTGACAAATTTGCTCGCTGTATTTGCAAAGCCGATTTGTAAATAAACATATAAAAAAAGCCACAAAATTACAATAACACATTAGGTTTGAAACTCACGCAATACGAATGCAAATTAAAGCAAGTTTACAAATTATATCATTGAAAAGGCAGGCAGGCATGCAGGAGACGAGAACATAAAAAGGAGATTCGTGCAGAGGCAGATTAGCTATCAGGAACTGACGTTGATGTGCGCTTCACTGAGGCGCACTTAATGAGATGGTTATAGCTTCCCTTCTCCTTGAAAAGCTGAGAGAAATGGTGTTTGCAGTACAGAATGCCTTCTAGAGCTGCATAGTTTGAAGGAGAAATGGAGCAGCCTCCATGGGAGCATCTGAAGCAGGATTTGTGGTATGCCAATCCTTCAACGGACACCTGGAGATTTTTGCAATATTAATAGAAGTTTCCAAATGAAAGGCAACTTTCTGGAAAGGAAACTAAGATATTAGGATAATTAAGGATTCAAATTTTCGATACATGCCACCTTACCTATGCATTAAAATGTGTATTTCACATTTTAAAAGTTAAAATGGTGGTATTTGATCGATATGCAAAAAATTGAGCGGTATAAACATCAAAAGTAATGTTTAATCATTAGACATGTAAATACATACGAATCAGGAGGTTATATATGTAAATACCATTTTTTTCCACAAGATTTTTAAGGTTTGAATTTATCCAAATTGTTGGAATTATCTTTGAGGACTCTAGTATGACATTTCAAATTAGGGGTGTAAGTGAGTCAAGCTGACTCATGAGCCAACCCGGGCTTGACTCGACATATGGCTTGTGAACTGAGCTCCATGAGCTAACAAACAAAGCTCAAGCCAGCCTAGACTTAAACTCGTTAGATCGTGAGCTAGCACGTTTAAAAAATAATTAATAAAAAATATATTTAAAATGTATTAAAATTCAACGACTTCAAGCTTCAGAGTAGCCCAAGCAAATGATTCCAACTCGAGTATTTGTTTTGACACATCAAGAAGCCCGTGAAGCTCCAAACATGATAACATGTATTATATCTATTTTTTTAAGTAAACGACAAGGATATTATTTGATTTTGGGGCATCACATTCATTCATTTTATGCAAATTTACATCTAATATATGAATTTATTCATTAAATTTGCATCTATCAATCACTATATCATATGACTCATCTTCGGTTGCCACTCAGTAGATTCATAATTGTGACATTGTTATTAATGAAATGCATGTGCCTGGTACACTCAAAGTAATCCCATTAGTTGAATTTGGTGTAATCTTGAGTATAAATTTTGGGATTAAATTCCTTTAAGAAGGGTAGTATGTAAGATCTGAAATATTCTTTTTTCCCTTCTCGTTATTGCGCCTCACCTCTACCAAATCCTTAGCATTTTACATATAATTTCCTTTTCCTTCTCATCCTATCAGACTGCACGAACAACCTTCCAAATTCTTCCCTCTTCTTTTCTTTGCGTGAGTTTCTTATTTGACATGCCGCGTTCTTGATTTGCCATCATATCGACTCTTTCTCTATTTAAGAGGAGTGTAGTGCAGGTTAGGGCAACCGGCAACAACAAGCCCTCTCTACATTTGCCATCATATCGACTCTTTCTCTATTTAAGAGTGTAGGTTAGGGCAACGGGCAACAACAAGCCCTCTCTAAACTGCACGAACAACCTTCCAAATTCTTCCCTCTTCTTTTCTTTGCATGAGTTTCTTATTTGACATGCCGCGTTCTTGATTTGCCATCATATCGACTCTTTCTCTATTTAAGAGGAGTGTAGTGCAGGTTAGGGCAACCGGCAACAACAAGCCCTCTCTACAGTTAATCGTAATCAAATCCATATCCTTACACTACATGTGCGGAAAATGAATCACTTATACTAATAATAATAATAATAAACTATCAATTATGTTACACCCAACTCAATAAATAATTAAGTTTAACAACATTATTTGCATAATTGCTTATATTCTTAATTCCAATTTATGTAGGACTTGTTAGTCAACGCCAGTTAAATCATTAATAAATTTGGGAGTTTTAAGGTAAGTAATTAATATTTATTAGGGATAAATGCACTATTCATTATTATGGGTGTTATGCTTGTTACTTGTATTTGATCCCTAGCTAACTGTAAGTTTGTTGGTTGTAACTTTTAAGTTCTATTAAGAAAATTGCAGTAAATTTTATTTGTTGTTTCTAATGAATTGCATAAGTATGTAGCCTTGTTTTATTGCTACATAGACTCGTGTCCATTTACCTATGCCTCGTGTTTCTAACATTTATTGTTTCTTTAAGAATGAGAATCCATGAAGCTAATGATAAATATGGCTATATAAGTAAGAGGGTTAAGTCCACTAAACCTCAGATCACAAAAGACTTGATGGTCATTAGGTTGTATAAGTAAGAAGTTTGATCCAATTATGTGAGGCGCCTTTTGGTTTGATGTGTGAAGCCTCACTAGAATTGATCCACTATATAAAATTAAAAGAAATTTAAAAAAAAGAGAATGAGAATCCATGAAGCTAATGATAAATATGGCTATATAAGTAAGAGGGTTAAGTCCACTAAACCTCAGATCACAAAAGACTTGATGGTCATTAGGTTGTATAAGTAAGAAGTTTGATCCAATTATGTGAGGCGCCTTTTGGTTTGATGTGTGAAGCCTCACTAGAATTGATCCACTATATAAAATTAAAAGAAATTTAAAAAAAAGAGAATGAGAATCCATGAAGCTAATGATAAATATGGCTATATAAGTAAGAGGGTTAAGTCCACTAAACCTCAGATCACAAAAGACTTGATGGTCATTAGGTTGTATAAGTAAGAAGTTTGATCCAATTATGTGAGGCGCCTTTTGGTTTGATGTGTGAAGCCTCACTAGAATTGATCCACTATATAAAATTAAAAGAAATTTAAAAAAAAGAGAATGAGAATCCATGAAGCTAATGATAAATATGGCTATATAAGTAAGAGGGTTAAGTCCACTAAACCTCAGATCACAAAAGACTTGATGGTCATTAGGTTGTATAAGTAAGAAGTTTGATCCAATTATGTGAGGCGCCTTTTGGTTTGATGTGTGAAGCCTCACTAGAATTGATCCACTATATAAAATTAAAAGAAATTTAAAAAAAAGAGAATGAGAATCCATGAAGCTAATGATAAATATGGCTATATAAGTAAGAGGGTTAAGTCCACTAAACCTCAGATCACAAAAAACTTGATGGTCATTAGGTTGTATAAGTAAGAAGTTTGATCCAATTATGTGAGGCGCCTTTTGGTTTGATGTGTGAAGCCTCACTAGAATTGATCCACTATATAAAATTAAAAGAAATTTAAAAAAAAGAGAATGAGAATCCATGAAGCTAATGATAAATATGGCTATATAAGTAAGAGGGTTAAGTCCACTAAACCTCAGATCACAAAAGACTTGATGGTCATTAAGTTGTATAAGTAAGAAGTTTGATCCAATTATGTGAGGCGCCTTTTGGTTTGATGTCTGAAGCCTCACTAGAATTGATCCACAATATAAAATTAAAAGAAATTAAAAAAAAAGAGAATGAGAATCCATGAAGCTAATGATAAATATGGTTGCAACTAACGATGATGATCACTATTATAACAAAAACATAATAACAGAATGATAACTTCCATATTGTTTTACTAACATGGCTGAGCTGAAGCTGTCCATAGAAGTTTGGCTGGTCCAATCAAGCTCAACAGTAAAGAACATCGTTCATTTTGTAGAGATAACAAAATACGAAATGCATCCACCAATTACAAAGATGCATGCGTAAGCCTTCTCAAGAAGTACCCGTAGAACATGGAATGGAAATACACTTGAAAGCAATGTTGTGAAAATCAGAAAAGAAAGAGAGGTTAAAGGTTCACCGGTTCAACTGCCAAATGACATAATAAATATTAAAATTTATTTTAATGTAATTTCAATAATATAATAATGATGCAAATATATTATTTTAATTGATTCAATGGACAATGATTTTAATTTATGACATCCCACTTTTGAATATTTTTAATAATATTCTAAATTAAAATTTTAAAAGACGAAATTTTCTCCTTTTTTTAATCAAAAATCTTATTTATAGTCATCTGACCAAAATTAAAAGGCTAAAATTAGAGAATATTAGAACAAGACAGTTTTTTAAAACCAAACATGCTCACCGGTAACCTTTTTAAACCTAGGTTCTGACCGGTTCTCTCCTGGGTCTATAAAAAAATATATTTGAGCTTTAGACTGAACTGATCAAATGAATGGTTCAATATTGAATCTGCAAGTCCGGTCATGTTTTTAAAACCATACTTAAAAGTGAAAGAATAATTGATTAGAAGTGCTGCCTTCAGGATGCGTGTTCATGATATGACAGACATGAAACTCACAAACTATAATACTATAAATAGAAATTAAATCGTACAAAACTCCATGACTCACTGCCATAAACTAAGATACTAGCTAATACCTACATAAATAACGTTTGTCCATTCTAACCCACCACATAGGTGGATATTCCTCTAAATATCGTTACTGCAGGTGCACATGCAGTATTGAAAAAATAAGATGCCAACCTGCCCATCAACATAGGCGTGTTTGATGATCTTTTGCATCTTTGTTTTAAAAAATGTGAAATATTACAATTAGGATTTGTGCAGAAGAAGACCCAACTTTTCAGAGGCTTCCTAACTATGGGAACCACGTTCCAAAGTAACAAGCACAAGGTCTTAAGTCATAGGACATACAGAGGTATTCATGAGTTTAAAAAGATGAAATAAAATACATATGCAGAGTAACTTGTTCAACTTGATGAAAACACTATAAGAATATTTTGTATCAAACAACAATGGCCAAAAACAATACAACATGACCAATGAAAAATAATACTAGATGGAAATCAAATAGCATATTTGAAGGAGAGAATGTGGACGGCAATATACAGCAGATTAATTTTTTTGAAGAACCGGTTTGAAGACTGAAAGTGAAAACCTCCGCTTCAAGCTTCTGTTAGTTATGTTTGAGAATTTTAAAATTTTCATTATTTTCCATTTACATAACAATATTCCACGATATTTTCAAAATGATTGCCAGGTAAAACTTTGGTTCACCAATAAGCTTAAAGCATCATCGAATTAGAAATGAAGAAGCACTAGGAATATTCATGCATTTCTTTTTAAATTAAGATTATATTATAAGTAATGAAAAAAGGACCCAACCTTTTCAAGGGGATATACTGTCTTTGAACAAATGGCACACTTTTCTTGTGTTCCTGAGAACATGCCAGCAGCTTTGCTAGGGGATCTCGTCTGAGAAAATGATAGAAAATGTTTAAGTAATTGAGGTCCCAAAAGTATATGTTCACAAAGTAAGACAACGGAATATGATAACGAACTCACAAACTCTGGAGTTAACTTCTCTGAGGATTTTGCAGCTGTCAATATGAGCAATCCTTAAAATCAGAAAAAAACAGAATGGAAGCAGCACTCTATACAACTATAACCAAGAATGTAGGCTTACGTGACTGAAAATTCTTGTTAAAGTTGCCTGCCTCTCTAAAGAGTTGTTCAAAATGAGGTTTGCAATATAGAACACCTTCCATGGATGAGTAATTACTGAGCTGAAGAGAAGGAGAAAACATTGATCTCACAAACTCAGAATTTCAAAAGTTCTCTTTGATAGCTGCAGAACAGCAAAACCTGAGCTATAGCAGATTATGTGACATGCTATAAAGGGGCTTCTTTCTCCCTAAAAAGATTTTTCTCTCTTATAACCCTCTTGAAATCGTTGAAAAGTTAATAAAATTCTAATTTAAAAAAAAAA